TGGTTTATAAATGTGCCTATATAAACGAATTCTCAAGCTGCTGATTGAAACGTGTGCCCCTATTCTAATATGCCATTTTATGTCCACTTTGATATGTCAGAAACCATTCGTTTATTCTCATGAAAATGGCAGCATTCTATTTTTCTGTGAATAAATTCGCTCTGCAGTAAAAAAAAAAGACATTATTCATTGCTGGGTTTTTGGCAGATTAAATTTACAAATGCTATATTAATTGGGGTCGTTTATTTAATCTGCCGCTGTGAAAATTCGCTCGCAGTTAGAAAATTAGAATGCTGCTTTTTTTTCTAATTGCACAAGAGCGTATTTTCAGAGCAGATTAAATTTACAAACACATCCAATTAATATAGTGTTCGTAAATTTCATCTGCCGCTCGAAAAATATGCTCTGTTAGGAAAAAAAGCTGCATTGAATGCTGTTTTTCTTTCTTTTATTTTTTATTTTTTTTTACTGCAGAACGCTTCTCACAGATAATTAGAATGCGGAGCATTCTATCACGCTAAAACATTATGAAAGGTTAAAAAAAAGTCGGGCTCGGGTCGGGCTGGGGCTCCACCCCCTCGGGCCGGGCCGGACACGGGCTCAGATTTTAGGCCCGTGCAGGGCTCTACTGAGAACTACACCTCCATGCAGCAGCATTCAGTCAGAACAGAAAGTGAAACTTAAATGTAGCTGCTGTCAGTAACAATCTAACAGATTTTAAACATTAAAACTCTCAACAGAAATAGTTCAAAAAGGAAATTGAAATGTTTACAACTTTGTGTGTGATTTATTATTATTATTATTATTTATTGTGGCAGAAGCTGGTGTGGTCCACCACAGAGAAGCTGCTCTAGCATGATGAATTTAATTATTCTAAAGGTTATTGTTCAGCCTTCTGACGCTCGCGCTCACACACACACGAGTGTTGGTGAGCGGCTGCGTCTGACTAGTGACGCTCCATGTGTGTTTTTATTTCTGCAGTGAGACAAACTCACCTCACACCATCCCGAGTATGTTCTTTAAAGCTTCTGGTAAATCCACCGTGTTGACATATTTTAACAAGTTTCCTCTACGCTGCAGGAGTTAAAGTTTACGTCACAGAGTAAAAGTTCGGCAGACGCATTTTATTTATATTTGGCCGCTGTGCACCGGGTGGGGGGAGGAGGGATGGTGTTACGTAGATATGTGCTCCCCCCTCGAGATCTGTTTCTTTTGCACCCAGCTGAGAGTTTGAACCATCCACTCGCAAAAAATGTGTGTCCTAACTGTAGGGTTTGGTAAATTGAGTGCTTTAAGAGCTCAATATATATATATTACCTCTACTTATGACCACTAAGCTGTGATACCCTATTTAAATATAGAATATCAACCCTGCTTGGTCTGTGTGTGTTTAATCAGAAGATTCTAGGATTCTTTATTCATTAGGGGATTGTACACACTTCGTTTTTATTCAGAAAAGAGTCAGGTTTATAAAAGTAAGAATTTATTTTACCAGCAATTAAAACATGACAAGTTAACTAAGCATCGACGGTAATGGATGGAACTAGATGTGATGTATGAAACCTATGTGTGAATGCGATGTTAGTCAGAACATCCGTGTCTAGGAGAGCTGAGTTCTGGATGTAAAAGAATTTGGTTTGCGTAAAGCTATGAAGTTGGTTGTTATCAAAAGCACATCAGACGCAATCTATCATGTCTACGTATCCACTTGAAGACCCTCGTGATAGATCCTGAATGTTGGAGTCCTCGGACTTCCAGGCACCGAGGTCCGTAGAAGAAACTGCGGCCCCAGATCTTAGGTCTTAACTCATTCACTGCCATTGACGACTGAAGTCGTCATTTTAGATCCAACCGTTCACTGCCAATGACGACTAAAGTTGTCATTTGCATTTTTTTACTGTTTGAGCATCGGAACGAGCCCCCGCGCTGAGAGAACAAACATCTCAGCCCTGAAGCCGATCTTTATATGTCACAGATCACACGATCAGGAAGCAACACATCCATGTGTTTGGAGATCGTTTTGGGCCGTTCCTGTAAAAAAAAAAGTGAGGCGCGAACCGGAAAAGCGTCTGCCGATCACAATTCGACAACGGATTATGAAAGAATGGATAACGCTCGAAACACGCGGCTTCTTCCTGATGTAAGAGGTGAGTCTCCTCTTTGTTTGGTTGTTTTGGCATCGACATCATCCTAGCGCGCAACGTTCTGTGACTCTTAAACAGTAAAAACGGTGAGAAACGCTGGCAGCGAAGGCCATTAGTGATCAGGAAATGGCTGGCAGTGAATGAGTTAAGAGTTGTCTCCAGGTCACAACAGACAGATGGAACTACGCGTCTGGGACTCTTAAGGAGTCTAAACAATATCAGCTTGTTTTGCAGGAACTGTTTCGGTATCAGTTTTGCAGGTGCAAAAAGATTTTGACGACATGTCAAAAGCTTTGATGGTTAAAGAGGGTTTTGCGTCAGGTGGCCGGTCTGAAGCTTTCTCAAGAACTCAGAGATCCTGAGAGTGATCCAGTTTTGATGTTCTCATGTTATGATTTGTGTAGCCAACCAAAGGTTGACAAGTTTGAGAAACATTACCAAGACAACTCAGAAACACGCCGTCTTTGATACGGAGGCTCTGACTGGGGTAAACGACTATTTATGTGTCAGAGTTTAACTTAACCTTACTTTGTCCTTGTGTGAGAGCAAATGGTGATGACCTTGCCATATAAACATGCTGAAACATATTTCAATCACTGCAGTCATTGAGCACAGATTAATTAAACATTCCATTATATTACAATTATTATAAGTAGCAATAAACAAACATTTATTTAATGATTATCTAGCTTATAAGTTGTAGAAGTTCATATCTGATTTAGGAAATCATTCCTTGACGTAGCAACTAATGCGGGCTGCGAGTGTTCCTTATATGGAGGCATGAAGACCTGAAAGATTGGACCTTGAGGAGAGAATGTTATGTTGACATGTCGTTATCATGTGTTCAGAGCTGCAGAGACTCAGCTCCAGCGGATGGGATGAAGGCAGGCCAATTTAAAGGGAACACATGCAGTCTTGTGTCTCCTTTTTGACCAGATGTTTAACGGTCAAGCTGTACCTAAAAACTGACCATTGCTGGACATTACAAAACCCTTACCCCAACCCTTACCCTCACCATAACCCTGGAACAAACATAAAAATTGTGCTACACATAATATTTGCAAAAATGTTATTTATGCAAAACATACAGTTTTGGTGACAGGTTGGTTAAGGTTAAGGTAAGGGTGAGGGTGAGGGTTATTTTTTGTGATTGGGTCATTTCCTCTTGCAGCTGGGTGCAAAAGAAACTGATCTCGAGGGGAGCACACATATCAATGTAACACCGGTTCCAATCGATGCTCGTTGCTCGATGCCCAACCCTGATCAAGAGCCTTGACCTGACTTGATAGCAGATCGCGACACTTAAATTTAAGATACACATAGACCCCAACTCAATAACATTGCTTTTCTATTTGATCTATCCTTCACACAAGCAAGGACACCGGTGTCTATGGAGGTTGGCTCCTTTTTCCACTGAAAAAACAACTGACAGGGTTTTTTCCAGAGTTTTATTGAGTCAGTTTTGACTTTTATTTAATGTCACCTGGAGGAAATGAACTCATTGAACCAGTGTTTTTTAAATAGGCTGGCTGATTGGTGAGCCTCAGATGGGGTTGGAGGTGCTGTACACCAGAAAGGTGCAGCAGCTGGTCAGCTCCATCTGCCATGATGACATCCATCCTTTATTTGATGAGTTCATTCTCCTTCTGCCTGGTTGTAGATTTATGCTCCCTGGTGTTAAAACCTGCACTTGTGGTCTTAACTGAGGATCTTGTGTGTTTGTAGATTGCAGAGCCTCTTGTTATTCCTTTGATGCACTTTTTAAATTTTATTCTTTGTTTGTTATTTTTAAAGATTCAGGTCCATCCTGGTTGTTTTTAAGGATTTTGGGCAAATGTTGTTTCTGTGTTTGCGTGTGTTGATTTTAATGTACATATTTATATAATTAAATAGATGCTGGTCTCTAAAGGTACAAAGTTCCCTACCTTTAAAATCAGACAGGAGCTGCTACAGACGCCCAAACATCCAAACAGGCAGTGGGAGTAAAAATGTGTGTTGCGTGTTTAGAATAAGAAATGACATTGTCTAAGATATGCTGGACAGTGTGTGAGTGGTCATGAATGAGTATTGTTGAAGGCCTATTTCTAAAGGCATCATAATCATTATTTTGCCCTTGTTCTGTCACCTTTACTTGTGCTTTGTAAAAAAAAAAAAAAAGCATTAACAATTCATCCTCAAGATGTCTGTGAGATTCTTCTGAATGGGAGGAAATGCTCTGCGTCAAAACAAAAAGCATGACATTTGTAGATTATGTTGTTTTGTGGATCATTTGGATTGTGTGTGTGTGTGTGTGTGTGTGTGTGTGTGTGTGTGCGTGTGCGTGTGCACGTGCGCGTGCGCGCGTGCGTGCGTGCGAGATATGGAAATGTAAGATCATGATTGTGGATGTAAATGCTAATGAATCCTAACCTGTATTTTACACTTTGTAAGTATTTATAACTTTCGGCACACAGGATTAGCAAGACATGATTGATGCAAACAAAAAATAGCACATTTATAAGTGAAATCTCCTTATTTGCTTTTGTATCATTATTCCACCCCTGACACAAATTACTGACCCATCTGCTACAGAGAAACCTGGCAACGAACCCTTCATGCTTCAGTGTGGCATCTGTCAAGTTTTCTTTAATTAGGTCACATGATTTCTGAGGCAAAACCACCACCTGGTTCAGCTGTTAAACAACAAAACAAAGCTTGTTTACTGTCCAGAAGGGTAACTCAATAAGGGTGCTTTGGGTCGATGCTCTGGAGTAAAAGATGACTAACTTGGTGTGTTTGAAGTGTGATTTTAGTAAAACAGCTGCTGTGACTGTTTTTCTTGCAGATGTTTTGATTTGAATTGTTTTATCTCCACAGTCCAAGAACTCCAGGAGACCCAGATACAGCTGACAGCCACCCCTTCCCCAGCACCTGGGGTCGCTCCGCCTCCTGCACCTCCCCCACATCCACCTCCACCCCCTCCACCTCCTCCTCCCCCTCCCCCACCTCCTCCTTCATCCAGATTGAACCCCCTCAGGTGAGAGGAAATTTCCTCCTGCGGATCTGCATTCGAGATAAAAATCTCATTTAAAGAGCAAGTCACCCCCTACCAGAGTGTTACTCCACTCCCACTTCCTGTTTGAAAAATGCAACAAATGCTGTTGCCTAGCAGACCGAGAGGGCGGAGCCGCAAACAAATACACACACACACACACAGGCTCACAACGACATTGTGACATCATATTGTACCAGCTAACATTCTAAGGCACGTCTTAGCCAATAGCGATGGCAGATTTAAATTTAACTGCAGTGCAGACTTTTTACCTGACAGCAGCACAACACTGACAGTTTTAGGCAGAAAATTTACATTTTAACTAAAATGCACTTAAGTGCAAGACTATTGGCTACACATGTCTGCAGCACGATTAGACACACATTCATAAAGTTTATCAGAAAAAAAATTAGATTTGGGGGTGACTTGCTCTTTAAGATGAATACAAACTAAATGTAAGGAAGGATTGAATAAAAAATAGTAAAACATTTTTTTTTTACTTCTGCTTCTACCAAAGCTCTCTGATAGCCATCATGAGGAAGTCCTCTAAAGTCTCCAAGGTCAAAGTGGAGCAGACTCCAGGTGAGAAATTTTTTAGATTTGTACATGGACCCCTGTTTTCAAATATATGAATTATTATTTAAGCTGCTATAGCGAGTCTTCAGAACGAGCTAGGCTTTGAACGCAAACATGGTCACGGAAGGTTCACCCCTCCCCTCGGGTATCTTCCCTGAGACACTTCTGCTTGAACCTGACACCCCCGATGCCAGAGGAAACAAGATAGCGCTAAACATCAGTCACAGTTTACTGGGTCCAAACGTCATTTCTTGTTCGCGGCTTCAAATGATGTTTTTCTTTTTAGGACTCTGGTACTTTGTCCTACATTTTAAAGTGGTAGCAGCTGGCTGTTTCTCCTTCTCTGATATTGTTGAGCAAAGAAGCTCTCACACCAGCGGTGTTCACTTGCTAAATATGCTAGTGCATAACGAATGGAAGAAGCAGGGAATTGCAGAAGTGGTTCGGTTTGGTGAGACCGACAACTGGATGGTCTAATAGTTGCTTTCAATTGGAATCGTGCTATTGGCAGAGGTTTTAAGACATTTGTGAGAGAACCATTTAAAAAAACAAGCAAAATAAACAAAAATCTCCACAATATATTTATAGCTAAATGAGGTGTGAAAATAGAAGTATTGAAGCCGATTTGTTTTCCAGATTTTTCATGGCAGCTTTAACGTGAAACAATTGTTTACCCTGCACAAAGTAATTTGTAGTTTTTCTGGCCTTTTCAGTTAAGTTCAGTTACATTTCATTAGGATGACCTAAAATGTGCTGCCAGATTAGGAGTCTGACTTCTTTCCAAAGTTCTGTTTGTTAGCCTAGAAATATGGACGACTGTAGCAGAAGCAAGATGATTTTGCTCTGCATGTTGGTCTTGCCACGCTCCATCGGAACCTCTATAGCCCTGGCCAGTTTATCTCTGATTAATTTGGGTCAGTAGGGGTTATAATACCATGTAAACTCATAACAATACTGTTACGCCCCCTCATGTCTAGGAGCTCAAGGAGGGACCAACACAGGAAATTAAATTAAAAAGAATGAACCGAGGTCTTAGCAACAAGTAAATTGTTTAGTGTAACAAAAGTTTACTCGACTGGGAGAAAACCAACTTGACTAATTAACTAAACACAAAATGCTGGATAAACCCTCAATGGCAATTATGGCTCTGAACTAAAGGCACTTTTCTACACTATAACAGGAAAGTCTAAGATAACTTAAACACAAAAGCCGGAACTGAAAAACTACTCACACTGGTGGAAACTAGGTCAAACACTAAAGAGGAACTAAATCTAAAGAAACTGCACACAAAACTAAACAGTTGTCAAAATGGCAACATTAAACTAAGGAGTCTCAATGCTATAAGTTCTCTAACAACAAGGTCTTCTAATAGCACACAAGCCACAGCCAAGGGTAAAATAGAATGGCTCTGCACCCCCTGAATGACCGAAAAGCTCACCCCTTTAGACTTGAGCAGTGTATTACAAACTTTTAACAGCTGGTGCTTCAGCTGGTCCTGCTCAGCAGTGTGCCTCTCTCCGTGGTGCTGAAACGGGAGCTTGCTGGCACTGTCCACGGTGCTGAAGGCTGAAGAAACTTATGGAGGCCTGACAAAGCCAAAAACATTAATAAAAATATTGTAACGTAATTGTAAAGTAACATATTTATATTATTAAGATTTTTAGTATATTGTTTATGTTAAGTTTAGTGATAATTTCATAAAGATAAAATCCCTAAAGCAGTTGACCAGTGAGTTAAAAGATTTAGTCAAATCTGAGTTCAATCAGCTTTGGTTTTATAATGTCTGTTAACAAAAAAAGAGTTTTTAAGACGTTTTACCATTTCAAACAAATGTTTCTCTTAGTATAATTTTAACAACTTCATTTGGGGCAGCATTAGCTAATGAGCAGGGGCCTCATTTATCAAGCTTGCTTACACACAAAATGGGGCCGAAAAACTGCGTAAGCAACTTTCCACGCAAATTTCTGGATTTATGAAAGAAAACTTAGCGGGAAAATGTGCGCATCTTTAAGTTGACTAAGGACCTGGCTTATGCACATGTTGGACATGGAGAGCACCTGCGGTGCTGCTGCTGAGCAGGATAAAATTATGAAATCCTGCAGCATTATCACTTGTACTGCTTCGTTTTCACACAGAACAAGACCCCTCACATGCACACACGCGTGCACGTGCACACACTCACGCGCGCACACACACACACACACACACACACACACACACACACACACACACACACACACACACACACACACACACACACACACACACACACACACACACACACACAGCCTGAAGCGCAGAATACGGGATGCAGAATATCAGCAGGGGGACAGGTTGAGACAGAATGTCATGCGTCTGTGACAGTGTGTGTCCTGTCACTGTGACCCGGTTGATCTTGCGCCCTGGCTACTTGGACAAGGGAGATGCCTGTTTGGCTGACTGGTTAGCACGTGTGACTTTCACCAGGGAGTCTGGAGATCGACTCCTGTTAGGATAGTTTTTTTTATATCCGCCACAGAACTCAGCATTAAGCGCCTTGTGATTTTTATCTTGAGAGGCGCTATAGAAATGGTATTTTCTTCTTCTTATTGACAGCTTCAGCAACGCTGTGCCACCCCGTGGATTTTCTCTTATTTATTTTGCAAAAGCACTTCATTTCATTTCTCCACTTCAACTTCTGCTTGTGAAATTCCGCTTCCTTGATCTGCTTTGATCTACGGTCACCATGTCATTGGTGGAGCGCTGCAACAAGCCGGCTTATGTATATGCATGAGATCCACAATGCACTTTGCATTGACTATTTATGGCAGTAAGTGGGCGTGGTGAGGGCGGGATGTGACTAAAAAGCAGCTGAGAACATTTGTAGATAGTTTCTGATTTATGAAGCAGAGATTGCGTGCAGCTGTGCGTACTCCATGTTTGATAGATCACAGACCTACTTGACGTATGTACATTTTTCTTTGCTGAGCTTAAGTACGGTTTTAGTAAGTATTCTACGTAATGTTTGATAAATGAGACCCCTGGTTGTCCAGTAATCAGAGGGAGGGACCCAGCGACGCGATCCCAGAAAGTTGAAATATTTTCAAGATTTCATCGCTGTCGCTCGGACGAGGACCAATCAACGGAGGTTTCATTCACTGACCAATGAGTGGACAGGATGCTCCGTACATCTCCGAGCAAACATGAAGGAGAAGTTGATTATTATTATGTTTTATAGTAAAATCAGAAGTAAGATTACACATAACTCTAGCAGCACCTTGTGAAACATCATATCTACCACTTTATTAACTCTGAACCGCTTAAATAACCTTAATTCCCTCCAACCTGACACAGCCAAACAAAACAACGGAAGTTTTGATTTCGCCATGGAACAGAACGCGTAGACGGCTTTGCCACTGGCTGCTGCCGCGGGTCGCCTCCCGTGTGTCAGGTAATAAAAGCGACAGCGACAAATTTCGCTGATTGCGGTTGTTTGTCGCCTCCCGTGTGTCGAGCCCATAATACAATAAACTTCCTGTATTTGGCTTAGGGGTGAGATTTATACAAGATTGTTACAGTTAAGTTTAAGAATATACTGGTTAGGGTTAGGTAGAGTAGATAGAGTAGATGTAACTCAGTGAGATCCCCCTGAATCAGTCCATTGACCGAAACAGTTTGGATTAGGGATTCACTGGCAGTGCACGGGCCGCCGCATGTCACTCAAGAACTCCCCTCCGATTGTTGGGTCGTATCAATGAAGAGCAAAAGAACAGAGTAGAGAAGAATGAAAGAACAGAGTAAGGAAAAAACGAGAAAAAGAACAGAATAAAGGGAAAAAAGAAAGGAAAAATGGGGGGGGGGGGGGGGGGGATTGGTAGAAACCAGGAAACAGAGGTGGCGCCGTGGTATTACGTTCAACCACAACTGAGCCGGACTAGGCTAAACCTGGCTCCCCCAATTCCTCCACCTAAGTGTAGGAGAGGGAATGGGAGAGTAAAAGAGGTGAGAAAGAGAACATAATGGTTTGTAGTGTGGTCCCAACTACGGTTAGGCATAAATGCAGTTACTAAAATGAATGGAAGTCAATACAAAGTTCTATTATGGATAGAAATACGTGTGTGTGTGTGTGTGTGTGTGTGTGTGTGTGTGTGTGTTGGGGGGGTTAATGGATGACTGATACACTGTAGTGTAAAGCTTTGGAGTCCTCTGACCCTGAAAGGCGCTATCCATAAGTGGGTCATTTATCATATTATTTTAAAGTGTATTCAAATATCCAAACATTGTGACTGTAAATGCACCAAAACATCCTCAGTCAGTGTTTAAATGTGGATTAGTTCAGACTCATGACCTGGTTTCTATGACTCTCCTGCAGCCGAAGGCGTGGATGATGTGAAGGTGAAGGCAGTTAACGAGATGATGGAGCGAATCAAACTTGGTGTCGTCCTGCGTCCTGTTAAAAGTCAAGAAACTAAGGTGAGACCTCAAAGGACTTTTATTCCTCACAACATTTCTGTCGGGGTGTCAAACTTATTTTCCATGTAAAAGAATCCACGGCGATTTTTCTTCCTGTGAGGATTTAAAAAACTGAAAACTAGATTATAATCTGAGTGATGAGGCAATGGGCCTGTGGGTAAAGACAGTAACATGCATAAAACACAGAGTAGAACAAAACAATGTAGAAAATACATTTTGTTTTATGTTTGTGTTTTTATCTTATTCTAGTCCATTTTATAGAACAGAACAGAATAGAATAGAATAGAAATTCCCTTTATTTTCTTTCAGTAGGAAGCTTTTGGTGTCACAGTAGCTATCACATTCACAACAGCAGCAAAGCTGAATATCTGGATTATTTGTTTTAATCCAGAAATCTCATTAGAGGAAACCTGGTCTAAAACCTAGAAAGAGTTGAACCTACTAAGAGTAACAGGATTCACTGTGCACCTGATAATGGATATGTTAGGAGCTCTCCATCTCTCTTGCCTAATTTCTCTATTTTGTTTCCTCATCATGCTTCGTCCCCATGCGGCCACAGAGAACCGCGGTCAAAGTGCGTACACTGATGCTTCATTAATCTATATAGAAAAGCCCACCCACCTATTTTCTTTGGCCCATCTAGCCCCACACCTCCTGCTGACCTTGGTTTTAATCAGTTCTACTAGGTCGCCTTAAATGAGCAATATGTAAGAATTCCACCGTGAAATACAGTAATCACAGAACAGTCTGTCACAATCGTGTTAGAAGAAAGATTATACTGAAACAGATTTAATTCTCAGTCGGCTGGGGGGTTGTCAGGTTTTCTCCTTTAAAAAAATGAAATAGGGACGTAGTCTCTATTCACTATCTGAGTTTGTGAGATTGCTGATTCTGCTCTGAGCTCACACGGCAGTGTCACCATTTGTAATTCAACACAGGCAAAAAGCTCCAGAGTTGTTTAAAGATCTGAAGTTGGTAAACAGGAGCAACCCAGAAGTTATTTCTTGTATTCCTAAGAAGCCACAACATGGTTTTGTTCTACTCTGATATTAGTTAAGAAGGCTAGAGGCTAATGTTGAGCTAACAATGCTAACAGTAAATTTGAAGCAAATAGTCAGCTCTAAAATAACTCAAGTAACTTTTTCAATTACCAACAACATTACAGTGAAATGTATGTGAAGTGAACAATGACTCAATCGTGGCGTTTTACTTCCTTTAATGAGTCGTTCAGAACTATAACAGCAAGATGGCAAACTACACTTCTTTTAATGCTGGAAGCAAACTACAGTAATAAGGGTACTAAGTGCTCCCTACCATAAAACACCCAAGACTGTTAACACCAGACATGACAATGTATGGATCTACTTACTGTGTATGACTCGTCTTTACATACAGAATCTTCTGGCGCTGATCCACGACTGACAACAGCCATGAAACTTATGAAGCATCAGCAAGAAAGTAACCTTTTTTATTAGAAAAACTGATTACAGGAACCAAATTGCCCACAGGATGTCATTCATACTTCATTCTTGCACATTGCAGCTTTAAGGTTGTAGTGCTAGACTCTGATTCCAGCTGTGTTATTGAATTAAACTGAATTAAATGTTCAATTAGTTCCAAGTGTCAAGCAGGAAAAGTAGACATGCTTCAGGAGTTCCTGTTCTCTAATCAAATGTGAAATCAGTAAGTCATTATTGTATGTTCCTGTTGTGTTCCCATGTAGACACCACCCTGTGAGGAGAAACAGCAGGAGAGTGCCATGGATGAGCTGAAAGGCATCCTGGTAAAATGGGCTTTAAACAACTTTCTGGTGTGTTATGGTGGACAGGAAATAATATAAAAACTTTGCTTGACATATCAAGCTGGACTTTATTTAAAATTTAGATCAGCTACTTTTGGAGGGGCTCTGATGATCTTTGATCCTTTGTGATTATAAACTTCCCATTTTCTCTACTAGGAAACAGTGAAGCGGAGCCCCAGTCGAGGTTCCCAGGAGTCAGGGCCATCACCACCGGCGAAGAAGGACAGCGAACTGGAGGTGATCCTGAGACGCCGACGCAACAAGGCTGGGGAGGCCGGATCAGGAGGTACACCTACCTGAGTCATGGTCTCTTGTTAAAAATCATTTTAATAATTATGAATCAATCAGAAGACTTGGAATGGCAGAAAAAGGTCAAAATTGGTTTCCAGATTCATTAAACCAAAGTTTAGATTGTCAAACCTGCAGCGTCACTGAGTGGAGTGTGCATTAAAGGTCAAAGGTCACAGCACAGATAAGATGAGTTTGTAATTTATGGAAAATATTTCTTCAGACATGAGGGGAAACATACAACAGCATTTTATATTAAATTAAATTAAACTAGCTGGGGAAGAAGTCAAAATCTCAAAATTGTCACAGACGAACTGTCAGCCAGAACATGAACTCAGATCTAAGATCAGCTCCAGAACCTGCAGCAGGTTCTGCTCCTGATGCACCAAGTCAGTTGATTTTCATATGTGAGCCTGGGGCCTGAATGCTGCACAGGTCAGAGGAGCTGACTCCCATCAAGGCTGCGGTCAGAACTACTTCATGCATCCATGTTGAGCCCTGCTGAGATTCACTGAGTCCAGCAGAGGGCGGTACAGATCAGAACCGACACCAAAAGCAGGTCAAAGCGCCGATCGACTGACCTTAGAGCAGGATTACAGCTGTAGGAGTTCACAATACCTAAACAAGAAACATGTTTCAACAAACAACCCTTGCAAACATGTTTGATTTTTGTTTTTACTAGGGGTGGGACTCGATTTAAAAAATTAATCTAATTTATTAGAGGCTTTGTAATGAATTAATCATATTTAATTGCATTTTAATCATTCAAGAAAATTTGCCCCCAAACTATTTTTATAAAAACAATGAGGCAGAGAATCAAACATTAAATATAGATATTATTTTTGTAAACTCAAGCTCTTAATTTATATATATATATATATAAACCAATGCTTTGTAATATTCAAATGTCACTATGTTATTTGAAACAAAACCCCAATCAACTAAAATTAATAATTGCAAATAGAAAACACCTGCAAAAGATTTCTGAGCCTTTAAATGGTCTCTCAGTCAAGTTGAATTACTGAAATAAATGGACTTTTGCACCATATTCTAATTTTTCCAGTTTCACTTTTACGTATAATTGGGTGTTTTTATTAACATTTCTATGACTCATTATCTAGTAAAAGCATATATTATCTGTCAATAAAATCCTAGAACAGGCACAAAACTGATGGAGGACTTAAATGTACTAACATGGGTCAGACCCGGACACGGAAGTGTTGAAGCTGGGTAGTAAAGACACGGTTAGGAATTATTGATCTGACGCCTGAGCAGCGGACAGCTCAGCGGACATTCTTTACATGTGAAGTTTCGCTCTCACATCAGGAAGGATAGCTGCAGACCTGCAGATTCACACCTGCAGCAGCAAATCTGCGGGTCTCCAGGTCTGCGACCTGATCACGTCTTCCTTGTTCCTCACTGGCCCTGATGACCGCTTTGAAACACTTCGCTGCTGAATTATAGTAACTCACGTAATGCTTAGACAGTAGCTCGTCTCAGACAAAAATATTATAAATGAACATAATTGTTTAGAAAATTATCTGAAAGTTTTAAGAGCGCTACTGTTGCTGTAAGACACGTTGTTTGACTTCTAGACGTTCGTTTGACTACTTTCATGAACTAATGTTAAGAGGAAGACATCATTCTATCTGATGATGTCACTGCTGCACAAATGTTACTAAATTAAGAATTTAGCTTACCTTGACTTTATAAATCTTCAGGTACGCAGATCGATAAAACAAGCGCTCCATGCGAGCAGCAGCAGTGAGATCAGAGACGATCTCTTCAAAGTGTGTGTGACGGACTCTGTTTTCAGGAAGTTTTTTTTTTTTACAAGTTAAGAGAAGAGGCCAACATGTTTTCCCAAACACAGCATCATTCCAAGCAAGGCACGTATCTTCTTTTTAGTAGCAGAGTACAGCTGCTTTGTTGTGTGCGTCAGTGAAATGTGCATACGCGGAAATAAAACAATGACAAAGGTTCTGTCTTTTTGAAATTCAAGCTGTGATTAAATGCATAAACTTTTTTAACACGTAATTTTTTTTCTAATTATTAATCATAAATAATGCGGTAAAGTCCCAAACCTAGGTTTAACTTATTTAATCAGATTTTCATATTTACAACTTGTTGGCTGAGGTTTAGTGTTTTAATATCTGGACTAATTCATTTTCAAAACTGTAACAGTTTCTTTGAATGCAAAGCAGACTAATGGGGCATTTTTTGGGGTTGTTGGTTTGCTTTTAAAGATTAGCAGAACCAAACAAATGCCAAAGACCAGACTTAATGCTTTTTGTTTCATCTCCAGACGAGCGTGAGGGCCAGATGAGCCATTTTTCATCCTCCGACAGCCTGAACGGGCAGCGCACCAGCAGTGACTCAGGCAAGGATTCAGAGGGACCTGGTGGGCTGAGCGTCCCTTCTGACCAAGCCAGAACCAAGGTCAGCCCAGAGAGATGGGGCTCGGGACCGGGACCCGTTGTGGCTCCAAAGAAGCAGAGGAGGTCGTGCAGCTCTCTGTCTGAAAAGGAAGTGGCTGAGAGTCTGGTCAGCAACGGCTCCATCAGCAGGTGAACACTAGGGGTCATGGGGGAAATGTCTACGTTATCTAAGTCATTTAATGTTGACATAACGTACAAATACATCCAGTCCCCCTAAATTATAGCAAAAGGTCTAAGTCGAACCAAACCAAACATGATGGTTCAAGAAGCCAATGTTTTTGGCAAACTCGGGTTCCCAGGGGATACTAATCCTTTTTTTATATTACAAAAAAGAAACTGATTTCATTTCTGTAAATATAAAAGCACACTTGATCAAGAATTTTGGTTTTATTTGACCTAACTTCTGCGTCTGATAACCTAGTTAGTCTGAAAATCACTTTAGTAAGTAGATGCAGAAAGAGTTTATCCTGCCTATCAAAGTTCCAGGGTTTGTGACCAGATCTTGCTGCTAGATACTTCTATTCAAAATAAAAATAAATACATAAATAAAGTAAAATATCAGAAATTCTCAAGAAGTTAGAAATTCCAGCAACAAGATAGATAAACTGCCACACAAGGGAAACTGAGAGCTAAATATTTTGGGAAATTTTAGAAACTTCCCTACCAAGATCTACAGCTACAGCCCAGTGAGATCCTGACTAGACTGCACTGCTTAAAGACACATTTTCACTAAGAAATAGTTGTTTACTTGTTATTTTGAAACATGATCGGTCACCAGTGTTGGGAACGTTACTTTAAAAAAGTAATTAGTTATAGTTACTGATTACTTTGTCAAAAAAGTAACTCAGTTAACTGAGTTACAAGATCATAAAAGTAACTAATTACCAACAAAAGTAACTACTTAGTTACTTTTTTCATTAAAGAATGCAAGAATTACTACAATAGTGAAATATAAATGACTAATGACTGGAACATAATAAAATGTATGTCCAAATGTTTTTTATAAACCTGAATAATTTAAACAAATAAGCACTTAACAGGAGGAACTACTAACAGGAACATTACACTAATCTAGACTATTAAAAGGTCACTGTGTGATATTTAACAAAAACCCAATCAGCTAACATTTAAAATTGCAAATAGAAACACCTGTGAAGGTTCCCGAGCCTTTAAATGGTTTCTCGGTCTAGTTAAATTACAGAAATAAATGTAATTTTGCACAGCATTCTAATTTTTCCAGCTTCACATAATTGTGTGTTTAGTAGCATTTCTGTTGCTGGTAATCTAGTAATGGTTAAATAAAAATCCTTTAAAATGACACTAGAAGAGGCACAGATCTGATGGAGGACTTACATTAACTAACTTGGGTCAGACCCAACCACAGAAGAGCTGAAGCTGGGTGGTAAACACACACAGGTAGTTCTGATAACACCTGAGCTCCAAGACGTCTGAGACTGATGCATCAGTGTTACAGCGGGACTAAAGACATGATCAGAGACAGGTTACAGCTGGATGATCTAGGATGGTAGAAGATCAGGACGGCTGAGCAGTGAACAGGTGAGCAGACCTTCGGGACGTCCCGCTGTCATGCTAAGGGCACGGCTGCAGACCCGCAGATTCGCTGCTGCAGATTCCCACCTGCAGCAACAAATCTGCGGGGGGTCTGCAGCCGTAGATATTCATCACGTCTTCCTCGTTCTTCACGGGCCGTGATGCTCTTAAACATCTGCCTCTTTAGCTCCTGATCAGCTGATGATGACAGCTTCAACACACCGCCCTGCTTAACGCACGCATTTCCTTATCAGTAACAGAAACGATCGTTTTGTTAAAAGAAGACGGTAATTAATTAGTTTGCTCGTTACAGAAAGAAATATTTTTTATTAACGTGGTTATTTTAAACGGAGTTATTCCCGTTGTGTCTACAGAATGCAGTGACTGAGACCGTGAGGGTCTCCGCCCACCCGGCCAATCATCATCGTGTTTGTAAGTGCGTTACCGACACCTCTCTCTCCCTGGCTGCAGCTGAAGTGTGGCGGTCAGAAAGCCTCACGCTGTTGCTCAACGTTCGACAAGCACATAGTAACGCACAACCTTCCGTCCCCAGTAACGGTAACGGCGTTGCAACTGCGGGAAAAGTAATTAATTAGATTATTCCGTTACCTATAAAAGAACGCCGTTAGAAACGCCGTTATATTTAAACGGTGTTACTCCCAACATTGTCGGTCACTATGAGTTTTTCATGCATGTTGAATAAGAAAATAGTCTTCTACTCCTAGTTCCTGCATTAGTCACAGATAGAAAATAGACAGGAAAAGCCTGACAGATGTACGTCACGCTGTCACTTAAAATTCATGGACCCACCCATTTTGACTCATGACGGTGAAGGCTGTTGTTGGTTTAACATCCAAGAAACAGCAGAGAACGTCTTGGCTGGTAGAAGCTAACCGGTAGCATTAGCAACTCCACAACACGACAGAACTCCAGGCTTGAGTTATTTTGATAGATAAAACTTTGCAAAGCAAACAGAGTTGGTGGTAGAGTCATGTTGCTGTTAGCCAATCAGAGGCGAGATGTCTGAATATCAGGAAATAAGACTCCAAATCCTGCTGTCTGCTCCCCCTCTGCTCTGACTCACTTTTACTTCCTGAAACAGGAGCACCAGAGCTTCGTTCCCACAGAGATCAACTCACAAGGCATTCATTTATATTAGAGTCCACTGCAAATGTACTGTAAAAAATATTTTGTGAAAGTGCTGCAAGTCAGAACCAGAATATCTAAATCTTTTCTGTCTCTGATCTCTTTGAATAAAAAAGAAAAACACAATTGATTTGAGCTGAAGAGTAGACCATATATTTTCCCAAAGACGATTTCCCAGACAAATTTTTGATGTAATGTTATTGGGTGATTAATATGAAACTGTACAGGCAGAAAACAAGTTTCCTCTTAGAAAAATGTTCTAAATTTTAAAGAGATCATTTACAGTATTTTTTCTTTTCTTGTAAACAAATGAAAACAGTTAATACAGAAATAATATTAAAGTGGTCCAAAGTTTGACTAAAACATGTAAACACAAATCTGTTTTGGGTCTGACATGTTTTTACTGTTTCTGCTCATCAGTTTTGGAGAGGCAGGGTATCCGCGGGTCCTTAAAAAGTCTTAAATTTGCTTTTCTAAATTTAAGGCCTTAAAAATCCTTAAAAATTACAAATAATCTTTAAATACAGTTTCCAAAGGTCTTAAATTACCAAAGACCCAATGAACAAGAATGTCTAGTTAGTGTTCAGCATTTTTTGTGTGTGATGTTGGCATAAGCGGAACCGTACACATTCAGTTGGTTGTGAAAGGGGGCTATTTTTGGATGAGCACATTAGCTGGTTAAGCTAGTGGGAGCTTGCGCCATGGGGAAGTGCAAGTTTAATGGTAACTAGGTGGGTAATCCCACGTTTGTGACGTGGTTAGCACCGGTTCCAGGCAATAGCTGGAAATTATAGCTTAAAATTAATTTTAAAAACAGCTTAAATTTGGTCAAAGTGGCCTTAAAAAGGTCTTAAAAAGTCTTAAATTTGGCTCCCTTAAACCTGCAGATACCCTGGAGAGGAGAATCAGATGAAGTCAAATGGAGTCAACCACACGGACCGTGGTGAAGACGTTTCCACCGAGCCGGTTAACGTCAGCGCCGACGGTGACGCCGAGTGCTGAGGCGGACTCTGAGGGGTTCACCTTTGGAATTAGATGTGTGTGTCTGCTGATAACAGATCTGATGGTTTAGGGAATATTAAACACATTTGCCTTTTATGCTAACTGTATCAAAATCAGAATGGAAGAAAACACGTTTGTTTTTAGATTCAGTCTCAAATTAACCTGCAACACGACCCCGTCAGAGTTAGCAGAACATTTCCCAAATGTCACCAAGAACTCCTGCTAAAGTTGTAGTTCTGGATGTGAAAAGGGTTCGACATGTTCAGCCACTGCAGAAACCTCCTCAGACCTTCTCCGTGAACCTACAGCTCAACATTTAATAGTTAAACGGACTCCTTCTTGTGGATTTCTTTCTGTTTCTGTGAGTTCAGATTTTACTTCACCTGTAATCTCGAGTGTCTTAGTTTTAACCTTAAACTGGATAAAATTCTGGAAAGAAAAAGCTGTGAAATGATATGAAATAAATATTTTCTATAGAGTTAAAAGGCAGATCAAATGCTTGCTAGAGCATGTTTTGATCTTTTTTTTTTCATTTAGAAACAAACACTAAACTTAAAAATAAAAACGTTTGAATAAAAGTTAAAAAAAACTATTAATATTATTACTTTAATATAATTGATTTACATTAAATTATAATATCACTGTCCTAAATGAATAAACTATGCCAAAACATCAGATATTTCTTTCTTGGTTTTAATTTAAAGGGTTAAATAAAATCCCTATGAGACATTTAAACTGTTTACAATTGGTATGGTAAAAATGTGTAAACAAAACAATCAAAAACAATGAAATAAACCCAGTTTCAGGTGAACATTAGGGAGCGAACATGAAGAATTATTTTAGTGAAATTATATGTTTTTTTTTTAATCAGTCAACATTGTTCTGCTTTAAGCTTTGGGTCTGTAATGATTTCCTCCTCTATAAAACATATTTATTAGTTAAAGGTTCTGTAGAATATTAGTCACGAATACGCTCAGCAAACGTACAGAAGCAGTCTGTTTTTGCTGAGTCACCTTTATTTAACTGATGAAAATCTTTGGTGTCTGAATCTAAAACCAGAACAAATGAACAAAAATGGTTCAGTCTTATTATGCCCAGAAACCTCCTGCGATCTGAAACGTGGAAGTGATGCTCTAAAATGTAAACTTTGAAATTTATTTTTAATTTTTTCTGATCTCTTTTGTTAAATTAATATTTAAAGAATACAGATATTTCAACAAAAGCTACATTTATTAAAAACTGGAGAGATATTTCTGCAGCTTGGTCCCAGCGATGGTGCAGTCAGTCAGGTTTTCTCTGCAGTGGCTGAAACTGTTCTCATCAGGAGTTTTCTGAGAAAACTTACTGAACTGATGGAAGGAAGCTGCAGCGATTTGCACAGAAACTCTGTTTTCTCTCTTTAGCTACAGTTTATTTTCTGTTTGATGCACAAATGATGCATTTAGAATCACCTTGTGTCATCAGAAGGAATGCACTGAGCTTTGTCAATCAGTTCTGCTGTGTTATCTTATTTGGTCTCCGTGAGGATTACACGTTTAAACACGCCCAGCCCTGCTGCTACATATAAATCAGCTCAGCCATGTTTGTGGTCAATCTAAACCTGTGTGCTTTACCGGAGAGTTGGAACTGGGATATATTAATAACCCATCTGAAAAGAGAAAAGTTGCAGCTCATGTTGATTGAAACTTTGATAAATTTTAAATAATATCTTCCTGATGATTAAAAGTCATGAGGCCATATTCACATTTATTACAAATTTTGAGTTTTTCCCCACCTACCACAGCTTGTATTTTTATTCCTGCATGTTTTAACTGAAACTGATATTTAAACGTTAACATATTTATTTATTAGTTGATACCAATAATATTGGGCATTTACATTGATTTACTAAAATCAGCACAGGTCCACTAATGAGAGTAAAAGAGGCTGTACTGAGAAACTTCTGGATTATCTAGAGTTTTATCTTCGGTTGTGAGATTTGTGGAAGGAACGCTCCACAGGTTCAGATCCCTGACTGGCCGACACACTCCACTCAAGTTCTTTCTTTTTTTAAGTAAAACTAACCATGGGAAAAAGCTGTAAACCTCTGAAAACCCCAGATTATTGATTATATAGTGGAGATGCTTTCCAATGAGTCACAATCATGAACTTTCTCTTTGAATTGAAGCTTCTTCCTTAGTGGAAACATCCAGGAACGTTTTAAAAACCAGGGTTTCTCTCTTCCACTCCTCCTGCTTTGGTTTCCGTTCCAGCGTGTCGACTATCAGCGAGTCACGAGGCTCATGAGATCTTGCAGATTTTCAGGAACTCGTAGCACATTGAGCAGGAATGTTCTCAGGGTCCACTGGACAAACTTTCACCACGTCAGGGGTCTCACTGAGAAAAACAAACAGTTTTCTGGTTAAATGCAAAGTAAAAACAGCTTTTGAGGATTGAGGTGCTTTGGTTATTGTCTCTACCTCTCCACAGACTCATGCCTCTTCACCTGAATAACATAGTGTGTGAAAACTAGTCCCTCCTCTGGAGATAAGATGTCTTCCTGCACTCAAACAGCACTGAGCCCTGCTTGCACACAACCTGATTATGTATCTCACCATCAAAACTTGTGCATTCCTTGGCTTTTATTTTGTGGGACCTGATATTTCCTGTACACTTGCAGCTTTTCTGACATGTGACGCGACAGTCCAGATGATTCCAAAAAGTATGCAACACATTTGTTTGAAGCTTTCATACTTTGTTGTTCTTTCTAAACACACATTTAAAAGTGCATTTGTCTATTATGTTTGTTTTACTCCAACACAGAAGACCAGACTTTTCCACTTCTGCTGCATATTAAAATGTTGCTACACGTCTGAACATTATGCACATTGAGGCGCTTGCACAAACCTCCAGATAGCAGAATTCAACCTGCGGCTCAGTGAGGGTTTGGGTCTTCTGATGGATTGCATTTATGATCACCAAAGTGGTGATTTGAAGGGATTTCCTGTGTCTGACCAGGTAAATACTGTCTTGGGGACATAAATGGAGTGTTGAAAGGTTTTTTGTATTGATTTTCATTTTAGCATCACTTGAAATAAAATAGTTAAATACCTGAAATGAGTTGTTTATGGTTTTGTGTGTAAAGAACATAGCATCATCTTGTAGTAAAGCTCTATTGTTTTTTTTAACTTACTTTTGAAATTTATGTAAATCTATTCATTTCTCAGTCTTTTTCAAGGGTGTATTGAAAACATCTTTCCAAATAATTATAGACTTTTGAGGTTCAATTTAAAATGTGTATTACACGAGTTTTTTTTTAAAGAAAACCGTGGTTGTTTGCATGATGGTTGAAACAAGTTCAACCTTAATGAACATTAAAGAGTAAGTCACCTCTACCAGAGTATTATTCCACTTCCTGTTTGAAAAATGCAACAAATGCTGTTGCCTAGCAGACCGAGAGGGCGGAGCCGCTAACAAATACACACACACACAGGCTCACAACGACATTGTGACATCATATCGTACCAGCTAATGTTCTAGGGCAGCGGTTCCCAAACTTATTTAGCCGCGCACCCCCTTCTATGTCCCGACCATGTCGACGCATCCCCCAGCCCCCACATCAGGGCATGGATATGACCTTTTTCCCCATCACTTTCATTTTTTTAAATAGTAATTAATAAACCTTCTATACCATTACAATTTCCTTTGATTTAATTTTAAATAAATATTTAGAGTGCCCAGGTAGCACATAAACAATGCAATTTAACGGTTTTCTTAAAGTAGGAATGTTTAACCTTTGGCGCCAGCTCTCTCCTTCCTTCTGCTCTGTGTAAACCTGAACTAGTCACCTACTTGTGCGTAATCAAATGTCTATAGGGGAAAAGATGGAAAAGCTACAGCCATGAGGTTCACTTTTGCCTCAGACCGACTTATTGTTGTTTTATGGTGTGGCTGAATCTGAGATCCGCTGCCACGCGGACTGGAACAACAAATGCTGCAGTAACATGAGTTGTGGTCAGGTTCATGAGGAGTCACTGGCTGGAGTGGACTCGGATTTCATACGTCATCCCAAAATAGAAGCTAATATCTTAATTTGACCTTGAATGAAAAATGTTGTTATAAAACCTCTTAAAAGTTTTTATCACAGAGGAGGCAGCGCTGATTTCTGCCTTCAGTCTGACGGCGTGTGTGTGTGTGTGTGTGTGTGTGTGTGTGTGTGTGTGTGTGTGTGTGTGTGTGTGTGTGTGTGTGTGTGTGTGTGTGTGTGTGTGTGTGTGTGTGTGTGTGTGTGTGTGTGTGTGTGTGTGTGTGTGTGTGTGCGCGCGTGTGTGTGTGCGTGTGTGCGTGTGTGTGTGTGCGTGTGTGTGTGCGTGCGCGTGTGTGTGTGTGTGTGTGTGTGTGTGCGTGCACGCGTGGCACAGCTCCATGAGCTGCTCCAGTCACCGCGTCTCGTTACTGGCGTTATTCAAACCAATGTTGTAAAATTACTTCTGCCCAGTCCTGATGTGCTCACATGTGCACCCGTGAGCCGTGGTTCCGCTGGAACGCGTCTGACCTCTGACAGACGCACTCTGAACGTCAGATCTTCAGTGCGCTGTCAATAGCCTGACACGTTAGAATGCTGTCCCACAGTCAGTGTGCTAATTTAATAATATAATAATGCTAAAATGCTCAGATGGGAATCATTTCTTGACTCATTTTGTTACATCCACAATGTCCTGTGTGTGAGGTTTACAATGTCAGAACACCTGCATGAGACAGGTGTTAATTACAATCTGCCAGAATGACTCGCCACCTTCAGATTTCTCCAACACCGTTAAAAATGGTCAAATACTGAACATATCGGCGTGCGCAGGCCAGAGCGCTGGAGCTCAGCGCATTGTTATTATGAAGCTAGGGCACATGCGGAGGACACACACACATGCGCGCGCAAAATATACTTGTTTTCAACTACATTTATTGGGCCCACTTACTTTTTCTTTGGCCCACCCACAAATGAGTTTCTGGCTACGTTAATGGTGACATATGACCAGAGCCGGATTAACGCAACGGCAAAGTAGGCACGTGCCTAGGGCCTGATTGGCTGGATGGGGCCCAGACAGAGGACCAAAATTAAAAATAAATAAAGTAAAAATAAATGTACAAATGTCCTATGATAGAATTTGTAGATAGGACTCCTATCTACAATTTATTTCAATATTTATTAATTAATTGAAAATAGTGACAATGTTTATCTTAACCATAGACCGTTTCATTGGCTATGTCACATTAAGGCGCCACCCAATTAAGGAGATCAGAGAAGCGGTCAGAGTCAGAGCGGGACACAACAAAGCTAGCAGGTGTTTTTGAGTAGGCTAACTTTCACGATGCTTTCGGGTGCGGCAAAACGTAAAAAAAAAATGAAGAGGAACAAAAGAAGAGACAGCGGGGGGGGGGGGGGCTTTACAGAGGTTTTTGTCGGGCTGCTCGGTCAGCCGTCCGACAGCTGTGAACCTGCTCGAGTCAGCAGAGCCAGAGGCTGGGCCCAAGTCAGACCCGGAGGAGACACAACCCGAAGATGCGGTGGAATATGCGGCGGAAGACGCTGTAGCGCCAACACCGTCAACATCAACGCCTTCTCAGAAGAACGAACTGGAAGAACAGCAGCCAGCCAGAAGTGAGCCCAATATAGTCTTACAGGAGCCTCTAGACCCAGAAAGGGTATTAACAACTAGCTACCCATCTGATCCTGCAAAGTGGTACCAAACTGATGACAGGATGCATGAGTATTTTGCACTAAACCATCCCTCTCAAAATATTGGATATTCGGCATCACAGAGGAAATCTGGAGACATAAACCGAAGCTTAACCTAGGAACATTTCTTCAGATGTGTTTCTGCTGTGATTGAGGCTTGTGATGCTGGAAGGCTGAAGATTATCCCGGAGTGGGGAATGCTAAATGGTTTCCTTGGTAAGTGTTGCTGGTTTTATTAATTATTTGTCAAATAATTTTATTAATGTTCAAATAGCAAAACAATAAGTTCACACTCAGAAAATTCACAGAATTTCTGATTCAGCAGAGGCAAAAACAGCCTGAACGAGCATAAAGCAAGATCAAAACTTAAGATAACGTTATCATTTTATTAAAATACTTTCTATTAAGATGATAGATTGTATAAAATTTATACTGTAATAATTTAGGCTGCGTGTTTATAGTTTGTTTTTGCGCCTTTAAATCATGCTTCAGTCCATTCAAATTAATCTTTTTCTTCTTGAATGTCTTTCCACCATCATGTGATTAATTTGTCAACATTTATAAATGTTGTAAGCTATTGTATTTTGCAGAAAATCTTTTTAATTAAATATGTTGATTAAATGTAAACAGAGAAAATATGATAAACATATTTGCTCTGTTTACATAGTTTAATGACACCTAGTGGTTATTTACTGGTATCGCCTTGACATTGACACTCCCAATCGATAAGATGAGGATCATTTATTAGCATTTAATACAGCTGTGTAATGACGTATAAATTATTAATATCAAAAAATTGTCTGATAGAATGTTTTACATACAACACATGACTTATTTTGGCATACAAACAACCAATTTGTAACCAAAGACTAGGCTACGTAAAATGTGAATGAACTTTTATAAGTAAATTTGGTAAGTTTCAGATTTCAATTCATTAAATAACATCGATGGGGGGGGGGGGGGGGGGGGGGGCTAAAAAAGCAGCCTGCCTAGGGTAGTCCATTTATTTAATCCGGCTCTGCATATGACAGACTTCTCTGAGCTCCGCAGCCATTACACTTTTCACCTCGCGCACCCCCTAGCGGCAGCTCTCACACCCCACTTAGGGAATCCCTGTTCTAGGGTACCTCTTAGCCAATAGCGAATGGCAGATTTAAATTCAACTGCAGTGCAGAGGTTTTACCTGACAACAGCACAACGCTGACAGCTTTAGGCAGAAATTTTAAATTTTAACCAAAATGCATTAAAGTGCTATACTATTGACTACACGTGTCTACAGCACGATTAGACATGCATTTATATAGTTTATCAGGAAAAAAAAAGTTGATTTCGGGGTGACCTGCTCTTTAAGTTCTGACGTCTCTTTCTACTGTTAGTACCAGGATAGTGTAGCAGCAAGACACTGGGCTGACTCAGGACGTGTTGGAGGGATTATAAATATGTTCTGGCTGCAGAAAAATGGCAACTTGAGCTGCACCTCCAGTTGCTATTGCCCTAACATAAGTGATTGTTTGACCCTGAAAGTCATGTGACCTAAAGCTACGTACATAGTGTAACTTCTGTTTGTCACCAGAAGGGCACAAGATGAGAAGCATCAGTAGTGATAGCTAAAATGGAGGAAAGTTATGGGTGGTTTTATTTTCTAGACATACATTTTCCAAGAGGTGATATGAGCTGCTGTTTCTCTGCTGAGTTTTTCTCTCTGAATGGTTCAAAAAGTCTGGGCTACCATTAGCTTAGCTGCTAAGCTAAAAGGATGGGGAACCTAAGTCACGCCCATCTACTTCCGGACCATGGGTCACCAGAAGAATGAAAAAATGAATGTAAGCCAATGGTGCTAAAAACACTGTTTTCTAATTCTGCTTGTTATGTTTTGTATATTTAAAGCGCTTATTTTCAAACGGGGGAGACACTATTTTAGGTTTTGTGGGAAAATAAGTCCAGGACTACAAATGTGCTTCATGAAAGTGACACATCGAACCAGACACGGAGAAAATAGAGGGAAAATGGCTGTAAGTTCAGCAAACTTCAAATCCTTCCCACAGGAGGAAAGAACCACCATAAATCGTGTTGATAAATCTGACCATTTGGTAAGTAGCAGCCACGCTAGGGGGGCAGAGATTATGTGGTGATGTCACATATACGACATGCTGATTTCTGGTTTGTAGTCATGCTAATTACCAACATTTACAAGCTGATAAATCTCAAAATACGTGACAGGCGTGTTTGAAACACTCATCATTGGTTTTCATTTAAATTGCAGTATAGCATATGTGGGATCCAGGGCCTAAGGGAAAGCGGATTAGAAAATAGCGTTATAGTCTCATTGACTTGCATTTATTTTTTACGTTCATCCTGGGACACATAAGCTGACCGGAAAGGTAGGCCACTTAGGCTCCCTATAGCTTCTTAAGCTACCATTAGCTTAGCTGCTAAGCTAACTTACGAAGCTACATTTTAATCAGAAACTAGGCAAGGGCCATTTTCTTTTTGCTGGTAAATGAGTGTCTAATCATGCTGTAGACACGTGCAGTCAATAATTTGGCACTTTAGTGCATCTTAGTTCAAATTTAAATATTCTGCCTAAAACTGTCAGTGTTGCACCATTGTCAGGTAAAAAGTGCATTGCATTTGAATTTAAATCTGCCACCACTATTGGCTAGAGGTACACTATTATGTTAGCTGGTACATTATGATGTCACAATGTTGTTGTCAATCTATGGCTGTGTCTCAATTCAGGGTCTGCATCCTACGTCGGCTGGTTACGTCACAGCGCCGCGACTAGGCCTGTCCCAATTTGAAGACTCCTTCAAATGCGGTCGACGAATCCGGCCTTCTTTTCGCCTGAATGAAGGATGGGTCCAGTGTATCCTTCATTGGTTTACATTTCCCAAGATGCCTTGCGGGCTGGATGGCAGAACATTTAAAAACAATGGCGGACAGTGAAGCGGGAGTTGTCGGAAAGAATTGTGCATATAAATGTCAGTATAAACTTGAAAACTGTTAGGTTAAGGACTTTTTGTGATACATGAACGTTATTTTAGTTTGAAATGTTACAGTAAAAGTGCTTGTATTGCGGTCTCGGCTCGTATGTTCGGCCGCTCGGTGTCGTACTTCTCCCGCTACGTTTTCCCCTGATTTTAATAGAAGTTTGTATTTTAGGTACAAGAGAAAACCAGGGAATTTATTAAGCTTAGGGCGGAGATGGACCACAAGTTCACTGGAGCAAAGTATTCGGCGGGTGTGGCATGGAGGTACAATAACATCTCATATTTTAAGTTTAGTTTTTTCTGCGAAAACACAAAAGTAATAACCCGTTGTCCTCTTTTCTATATATTTTCTCTTCCTGTTTTTTTTCTTACATGTTTGTTAAGACTATTCTGGAGAAAATGGGCATCCAGGGGAAGGTGACAGCGATGACCAGCTTCTGGAGCTGATCAGGGAGGACATGAGGCTGCAGAGGGAGGCAGAGCAGCAGAGGGCACAGGAGAGAAGGGAGAATTTTGACAGGCTTTTTACTTTGATAGAAAAAATGGTTAAGAAAGATTAAACATGTACATATAAAAGAAATATCTAAATAAAATCAGTTCTGTATTAAACACTTGAATTTTATTTTTGTTTACAAATGTGAATTGTTTAATATTACAGGGTATCCGCTGGGTCTTGAAAAGTCTTAAAAGGTGATAAATCGGTTTTGGTCAAATTAAGACCCTTAAAAAGTATTAAAAACTATTATCACATCTTTGCTCAGGCTCAGCTTGTCGAAAGCATTTTCTCTGAATTAGCTCTCCAACAGTCAAGGAAATTATTAAAAAGCTAAATAAAACTTCGAGCTCCTTCCTTCTCCCTTCTGCTCAGCGGTTCCACGGTTGCTAGGTGACGGAATGTTCGCGAGGGAGTGGCTGGAATTCATGAAGTCTAGGCTTGTCCAAATTCACAGCCGTTAACATCCGGTCTACTCAGCCGACGGAGGACCCAGCCCAAGTCGGCCGAGTAGGCTGGGTCCTTCGAAGGATGCAGACCCTGAATTGAGACACAGCGGATGTGTGTGTCTAGTTGTCGTCTCCGCCCTTTTGGTCTGCCAGGCAACAGCATTTGTTGCATTTTTCAAACATGAAGTGTGGGTGGAGGCGTCTGGCAGGGGGTGACTTGCTCTTTAAGAAAAACAACACCTAATAACTTACATTTTATTTTTCAAATTTTGAGGTCTTTAAGGCTTTTTAATCATAACCAATTAGAAAACTCTCAAGGCCTAGAATAAGCATAGATAAGTCTGTTCTAATAGCCATCAGGTTTAAATAACTAAGATAATGTTATTACTGTTTATTGTTATTTTGAGGGTCATTATATCAATGTTTCAAAGTGTTTTGTTCCGTACAATATAAAGTAAAAAACAATCATCTGCAGAAATTACGCATTCCAGTTTGAATACAGGAAAAACATTGGCCGTTTATCAGTACTCAAGTATGCTGGTATGTTCTTGTGTACTAGTCAAGTATGTTGTTGGCAAGGACACAAAAGTCTGTTCTACCGAGTACGGGATGAAGGTGAGCTCAAGTCGCCATTGTGCTGCAGCCAGGTCCTCTTGGAATTACGACCCTGTTTGCTTTCCATACCATCTAACTAAACACATCCGAGTCAACAGGCGTCGCTCGCGCGCTCTCTACTCAGCTTCAACATCGAGAGTTCTCAATCCAAGATGGCGTCTCAGTACTACCGGGAGATGCAGGACAACTTCAAAAACAACAATAAAAGTCGGGAGTTCCAGGCTCATTCAGCGAAAGTTCATTCGGTGGCCTGGAGCTGTGACGGCAGGAGACTGGCTTCCGGTTCGTTTGATAAAACTGCCAGCGTGTTTGTCCTGGAAAAGGACCGTTTGGTGAGTTCCGGTTGTTTCAATGATGTAGCGCGCCAGCAATGACGGCGCTCTGGGTCTTGGCGTGACCTGCTGGCTACCGTCATGGTGCGTTGGGTTGTGACTTGTGATTATTTTGGGGCTCAAAATAAGCCGGAGAGTCGCTTCGCAGTCGGATCTCCTGCGTTGCGGGGGACACTGGGCGACCGACCCTATTGTGAGATTCGTTGAAGGGTGGACATTCGCGATTCAGGTGTTCTTGGAAGGAGGAGTTCTGTGGTTGCTACCCGGTAGCTGTCTCCGTGTTTTTTGGTAGGTAGACGTGTTCGAGACAGTGGATGATGTTCTTCTGCGGTTCCGCGCGCATTTTTCTGGGTGTAATGGGGGTTACTGTATTCAGTCTGGTCGTGTTGTTTAGTGTGTTTGTGGCAGCCTCTTGGGCGTCTAGCCTGCATCACCAAAGAAAAAGCTAGCTGCTGTGTGTATTTGCTACGGCTAACATTAGAATTTTAACTGTTTTCCACACCGGTCTAATCCCATCATTAACAGTTACAACAGAGTAGATAACTGGTCGTTTAATAAACGGAATGGGTTTACTGAGTTAAGTCATTTTAATATGAAATGCCTCTTCGCTGTAAGAAACCAGGAGAATGAGATTCAGGCTGCATTAGAAGACTGTCACCCTTTGGCACATTGCCATTGAGTTAAATACAACTACTGATGACTTCTATAGCGTTTTTTTATATCCTGCTTAATGTGGCTAAATATGTTCAGGACAAAGTTATAAAACTAAACTTCATGCATAAAAGATGCAAGACTGAATCTGCATTTTAAACAAAACATTTTAACAAAGTAACTGAGTTTATTCAGTTAGATTTTTTTCCCACCAGGTGAAAGAAAACAACTACAGAGGACACAGTGATAGTGTGGATCAGCTGTGCTGGCATCCAACCAACCCCGACCTTTTTGTCACAGCATCTGGAGACAAAACCATTCGCATATGGGATGTACGCACCACTAAATGCATCGCCACAGTCAACACGAAAGGTAGGGTGATCACACCTGTTGGAGCTGAAATCTGACCCAGCAGTGCTTTGAACAGATAGACGGTCACATCTTCAACCAGCACTGGTCTGGTTCTATATTTCTGCTGTTGCTTTTCCTCTCACTTTTGAACAGTTTAGGGTGAAGCTTACAGCTTTTTGTTTTTGTAGTTTGGGGGGGGCAGTAATATTTAGTAATGTGTTACAAAAGGATCCACAGACATCAGGACTAGTTTTCCCTGTAATTGTTGTTTTTTAACTACAAAGTTATTTTAAAGTACAAATGTACATCTTTTAACATGTAACTACATAATGAAAGGCGGCTGGGTAAATAATTGACTGGAACAATGCATTGTCTGATATTTTCTTATTTCCTCAGTAATCGTTTATCAACCCAGCTTGTGCAAACCCAACCAATCTCAACTGGTTTTTTGATCAGATGGAAGAAGAAAAAAACACGTCAAACAAAAATATTCTGTCTAGTATTAATTTCTGCAGATTTACACAAAACCCAAACATGCTGAGCTCTGGTTAAAAACTTAAACAGCTGCAACATTTAGGCCGTCTTATTGTTTTAAAGAAAAATATGAGGAGGAAAAGCTTTACTTGAACTAGTTTTAAAATACAGTTTGAGAAAATAGCTTGGAGCCAGAAACTGAAACCGAAAAAATTAAATGTTTTCCAGTTTATTTTGGGTGATGACATTTAGAGGCCGACTGATATATTAAACTTTTTCTATATCAGCCATCGGCCGAAATTATTTATAAAAGCTGATAAAAAAATACAATAAAATCAGGCCAACTGCCCCTATTACTAGAATGAAGATAGGACTCAAAGGACCCCAACACACCGTTTTTTAATGTTTTGAGTTTGTTTTATATTACAACTTCAATAAATAATTAAGAGATTCATTTACTTTATGCTGCACACAGTGAGTGTTCAGTTGTCTTTCACAATCAATGTGCTGCTAAAACATTTATATATTAGCTTTAATAATTGGCTTTAGATATCAGCCATCGGCAACAAAATCCTTTAAAAATCTGTATCAGCAACAGCCTTAAAAAACATGTCGGTCAGCCTCTCATTAAAGTACTTTGATACCATGGGTCGTCATTTGTACTAGAAATAGAGAAATTAAATGTTTTTGTCTTATTCTAGCAGTTGAAATTATGTTGTTCAAAAATAATGTGTTTTTTTTTTATTGTTTATTTTGACTTTAGGAGAGAACATCAACATCTGCTGGAGTCCCGACGGTCAGACTATTGCTGTTGGGAACAAAGACGATGTGGTGACTTTCATCGACGCCAAGACGCATCGCTCCAGGGCGGAGGAGCAGTTCAAGTTCGAGGTGAACGAGATCTCCTGGAACAACGACAATGACATGTTCTTCCTCACAAACGGCAGTGGCTGCATCAATATTCTGAGGTAGGATCCAAATGAAGTACCGTATTTTCACGACTATAGGGCGCACCGTGTTATAGGGCGCAGCTTCAGTTACGGGTGTCTTTTTGGTATTTAACACATACAAAAGGCGCACCGGGTTATAGGGTGCAGGCGCGGCACGTAAAACGTACCGGTAAAACATCTGTGCGGGCTCGGGACTCGAAACATATCAGTGCAAACCAGACATTGTGAAAATTATAAACAGCCAAAAGCATGCTTCACTTTACTGGTCTAGTCCTGGTTTAGACCTGGTTTAGAGCGCACGTGCACTTCCTCATTGCGTGCGCTGACGGCTCGTGCTCTTCTAATGGGCTCGACACACGGGAGGCAACTTCGCCTCTCCTCCACTCATTTTCAATGAGACATGCGCGACAAAGCGATAATCACGGGTCTCCCTCCTACTAATGCCGGGCGTACACCGGGAGTGCTGCAGGAGGCCACACAGGGATTTATGGGGGTTGGATGAGGAAAACGAAATAAAGAAAGTAAATCTGTGTTTTGTGATCAGTTTAATTTGACATGAACACGACAAACACGCTTTCTTGACAATCTTTGTGAGTAAAAAAACGTGTAGAAATAAAACGAACAGCGTGTGTTATTAGGGAAATAGCGGGCGAGCGGTGTTGATGCATGGTTGCGCATGCGCCGTGAGCGGTTCTGGTACTTTTTGGGTCACAGCTGCTCGCAGCGCCGTTAGAAGCGCTGATGCGCTGTGTTGAAGTTCAGAATGTGTTTACCGGTAGTTGGTGGATTTAACCACATAAACTTTCCACATGAACAAAATCATATGTGTTATTAATAGGCCTAAGAAAATAGTGTGATTTGAATTGTGTTTTATTAACCCTCTGGGGTCCATGGACGCGTATCTGCGTCTTTTGAACAGGTCTGATTTGGGATGCTGTAGCAGCAAGACTCCACCTCCCTGAGTTTCGGTTTCAATTCAGCTTTAAAAAGGAGATTGTAAACTACACCCGTTTTTAAATTCTGTTAATTGGCAACGTAAAAGCGGAGTTATACAAAACTAAAAAAACGACCTATTTTTAGACAATCTGATAACTTGTCAAAACTAGGGCTGCTCAATTAATCGAATTTTAATCACGATTACGATCTGAGTTTTGAACGATTATAAAAAAACAAAACAAGCCGATTATTTGCTCCTCCCACTTGCGCTGCCCTGAGTTGCAAATGAAGCGCTCCTCCTAGGGTGTTGCCAACTTGGCGACTTTGACGCCATTTCTAACAGCTTTTCAGACCCCCTTCTTGACTTTTTAAATCTTAAAAGTACCTAGCGAACACCTCAGAAACATCTCTGGTAACCCTTAGCTACTTTCTGGATAACTGTAGTCGACATTTCCTGCTGCAGGTTAGCTAAACACTCCGCCTGCACTCCGGACCGTTCTTCAGGACATTAGGAAAGGGAATGATGTAGTGATGTGTCGGTCGCTAAAGAAACGGCTCTCGGAGCCGGCTCCTTGTTGGATTAACCAGAGTGAGTGACACACACACCACACCTGCGGACTCCTGAGCCGCTAAAAACAGCTAAATGAGCACGTGCGGTGTGCTAAACACACGTGCAGCTTGCCCCGATTCCTGTGAGACCGGGTTGGGGGGTGGGGGGTGGGGGGTGCAGCTGTGGTTGGGACAATTATTACATTAACTGATGGACTTGTAAATAAATAGTTTATAAATAAGGTAGAAATAAGTTCCTCACGCTGATAAATAATAACTAATCTCTCTGAGGACACGGTGCTAGTGCACTCTCCTACAGCACCTTGACACGACTCAATAAATGTTATGTAACATTTTGTGAACATCAATTTGTTTGCATTTATTTGTTATAAAGGCTGCTGTATAATTCTTGCAGTCAGTATTTGCAAGGTATTGGTATTTGGGTCTGTACTGGTTAGACTTAAATGAGTTAAACCAAGGTCTGTAGCCCTTGGGTCATAGACTATGAGCTATAAGTATATTGGTCTTTTTATACTGGGAATCAGGAGTTATTGTAGTGATCATTGTAAAGAAAAACTTGGTTGCTCAGCCATATTGTAAAACTGGCTGGCTGGTCATATTGTAAGGAGAAACTGTCTTTACTCAGTTTTATTGTTAAGAAGACTCAAAGGTTGTTTTCATCGATAAACTGACGATAATATCTGAGTGTCTGTGTTTCAGTTCAATGAGGAAACCAGTTTGACGATTAAAAGTTTTAATTCTTCAAATTAAACTAATGATTTTGAAAATTGACAAACAGGAAATAACAATCAACATTACTTTGTGGGACAATCTTTAACAGTTGATATGCTGTTCTTGCTCAAATAGACCTTCTGTCGGTGAATGAAGATTGAGTGTGATATGATGTGATTATGGATGCGTGTGTGTGTAAAGTGTCGTGAGAATTGAACATGAGGTGAGATGAATGCGTGTGTGCATCTGATTTTGCTTCAGGAAGAAACAGGTGTCTGAGTGAAAAGTGATGGTTTGAATAAACTTAGGTTTAGTTGGAAAAGATGCATCAAAACGCTATCTGTCGTGTTTTGCCTCACCGAAAATCGGACCCTCTGTTGGACCCGGGACGTCACTAGGATGTTTCATCCAGGGCACCTTGGCTGGCAAAGAAGACAAAGATGCGCTGCGAACCGGTCCAGAGTTGCCCTCGGTACACGTTGATGGTAAAGCGTTTTGTCGACGCGCTTTCTTAAGTTAATTCACTCAGAAATCAAAAGACTCAGTAATGAGTCTGCGTTAGAAGTTGCGATTCAGCTATTCTTTCTGGCTGACAGAAACAGCGTGAGAAGGGGGGGAGGGGGGGGAGAGAAACGAGCCAACAGGCTCTGTCCCCCCTTCAGGTTTTCAGGTCCACTCTCTTTCGTTGTCCAACACGAACTGAAATCATGAGACTGAAACTTACCAAAAACCTTTCTCTTCTCAAAGCAAACGTGTGCGTCATCAAATGTGTCTGGAGTTTACTGTGGGAAGATGTGTGTGGGTGTGTGTGAATGTTTGTGTGCTTGAGTGTGTGTGAAGTTCAGTACCAAACATTCTCAACATTATTTAAGAATGGATTCATTAAGCCATTATAATTACCCCAAAGCATAATAGTCATTCATTTGATTAAACACATTTATAATGAGCAAAATGATAATGGTTACTTTAACATTAAAATCAAGAAAAAGAAGTTTAAACTTTATGTTTTGACTTGGTCTGGGTACAACTCATGGAAACACATCTTCTGGTAGACTGCAGGTGGCTGATGTTATGGTTTCCTCCCAGACTCGCTGGCGTTCAGGTCTTAATCTGTGGGTGAAAGTTCTCAATGACCCAGCTTTGACCTAGCTGCGTCCAGCACCACCTTTGTGACAGAAAACCCATATTTCCTCACGTTACATCATCTTGTTTCTTATTTTTGTCCTGATTTTGCCCTGAGCAATTTTATGACTGAATAAAAACAAATAAAATCAGCATAAATAGAAAAATCGTCCTAAATAATCGTGATCTCAATTTCAGTCACCATAATCGTGATTATTATTTTTGCCATAATCGAGCAGCCCTAGTCAAAACAGCAGTTTAGTAATCCGTGAGAGGGAATGTGCTCGTGAACATAAAAAACCCACAAAAACATGAGATCCTTTTGCTGTTGGTGGAAGTCTCACATATTCAAATGATAAAAAGTATCATTATGTAGCTGAGAGAGAGAGGAAGGCTGCACGAGTAACCAGATGTGCGCAAAAAGGAGCCGCTTTGCGGGGAAAGGAGTGGCGCGAACGGAGTACAGTGGGGCAAAAAAGTATTTAGTCAGCCACCGATTGTGCAAGTTCTCCCACTTAAAATGATAACAGAGGTCAGTAATTTTCATCATAGGTACACTTCAACTGTGAGAGACAGAATGTGGAAAAAAATCCATGAATTCACATGGCAGGATTTTTAAAGAATTTATTTGTAAATCAGGGTGGAAAATAAGTATTTGGTCAATAACAAAAATTCATCTCAATACTTTGTAACATAACCTTTGTTGGCAATAAGAGGTCAAATGATTACTATAGGTCTTTACCAGGTTTGCACACACAGTAGCTGGTATTTTGGCCCATTCCTCCATGCAGATCTTCTCGAGAGCAGTGATGTTTTGGGGCTGTCGCCGAGCAACACGGACTTTCAACTCCCTCCACAGATTTTCTATGGGGTTGAGGTCTGGAGACTGGCTAGGCCACTCCAGGACTTTCAAATGCTTCTTACGGAGCCACTCCTTTGTTGCCCGGGCGGTGTGTTTGGGACCATTGTCGTGTTGGAAGACCCAGCCACGTTTCATCTTCAAAGCTCTCACTGATGGAAGGAGGTTTTGGCTCAGAATCTCACCATACATGGCCCCATTCATTCTGTCCTTAACACGGATCAGTCGTCCTGTCCCCTTAGCAGAAAAACAGCCCCAAAGCATGATGTTCCCACCCCCATGCTTCACAGTAGGTATGGTGTTCTTGGGATGCAACTCAGTATCCTTCTTCCTCCAAACACGACGAGTTGAGTTTATACCAAAAAGTTCTACTTTGGTTTCATCTGATCACTTGACATTCTCCCAATCCTCTGCTGTATCATCCATGTGCTCTCAGGCAAACTTCAGACGGGCCTGAACATGCACTGGCTTCAGCAGCGGAACACGTCTGGCACTGCAGGATTTGATTCCCTGCCGTTGTAGTGTGTTACTGATGGTGACCTTTGTTACTGTGGTCCCAGCTCTCTGCAGGTCATTCACCAGGTCCCCCCGTGTGGTTCTGGGATTCTTGCTCATCGTTCTCATGATCATTTTGACCCCACGGGATGAGATCTTGCGTGGAGCCCCAGATCGAGGGAGATTATCAGTGGTCTTGTATGTCTTCCTTTTTCTGATAATTGCTCCCACAGTTGATTTTTTCACACCAAGCTGCTTGCCTATTGTAGATTCACTCTTCCCAGTCAGGTGCAGGTCTACAATTCTTTTCCTGGTGTCCTTCGAAAGCTCTTTGGTCTTGGCCATAGTGGAGTTTGGAGTCTGATTGTTTGAGGCTGTGGACAGGTGTCTTTTATACAGATAATGAGTTCAAACAGGTGCCATTAATACAGGTAACGAGTGGAGGACAGAAAAGCTTCTTAAAGAAGACGTTACAGGTCTGTGGGAGCCAGAGATTTTCCTTGTTTGAAGTGACCAAATACTTATTTTCCACCCTGATTTACAAATAAATTCTTTAAAAATCCTGCCATGTGAATTCATGGATCTTTTTTCACATTCTGTCTCTCACAGTTGAAGTGTACCAACGACGTAAATTACTGACCTCTGTCACCGTTTTAAGTGGGAGAACTTGCACAATCGGTGGCTGACTAAATACTTTTTTGCCCCACTGTAACAACAAACAATTGGACAGATATTGATGGTAAACTTCATATTTTGGAGCGATCCGGACAGATATATTGTCTCTGCAGTTAAGTAGGCTTTTATTAGGCTTATATAAAGGATGATGAGAAGGATGAATGTCCACCAGACAGTTCAGATAGTACAGCTGGAAGAAGAGGACGTGGACGGAGACTCACAGCCGGAGTCTGAGGCAAACAGCGAGGATGTTGATGACGATGAGGCAGATCCACAGGTCTGTCTTCGCTCACGTCCGCACGTTCACGCCACACCCCTTGTCTTTTACCACGTTCGCGTCTCACAACAACACAATAGGCGCACCACACCATAGGGCGCGGTGTACATTTGAGAAATTTTAAGACTTTTAGGTGCGCCTTATGGTCGTGAAAATACGGTAGCTCTTTTTATTAAGTTTTGTTTGGCTTTCTGTTTTCTGCAGCTTTTTTTCCCCAGCCATCAGTGTTCTAATTGATGCTAATTAATAATAATTAAAACTACACACCATGATCCGTCAGAATAAATCGCCCTCTTTCCCAAAACAAATACAGATTTTTTAAAATTCAGGTTCTCCGGATTCTTATTGACATCTGTAGTTTTTAGTTTTACTGGTTCTAATGAGCTAAATGGAGCCAAATCATTTTGTGCTGGTATGACTTATTTATATTCCTCCAATATAAGTGTTTGTTTTGTCTTAGTTATCCAGACCTGAAGCCCATCCAGTCCATCAACGCTCACCCGTCCAACTGCATCTGCATCAAGTTTGACCCCATGGGTAAATATTTCGCCATAGGAAGTGCAGATGCCCTCGTCAGTCTGTGGGATGTGGAGGAGCTGGTGTGTGTTCGCTGCTTCTCCAGGTCTGTTTGTGCTTCATTTTTCACAGAAAACAACTCTCTCTCCATTTGGCTCAATAAAGTTTGGATATTTACTTTTGTTCTGTTGATGCTGCAGACTGGACTGGCCAGTGAGGACACTGAGCTTCAGCCATGATGGGAAGATGTTGGCCTCCGCCTCTGAGGACCACTTTATTGATATTGGAGAGGTGGAGACAGGTGAGTAAACAACTGTGTGCTGTCTCTTCAGTGCACGTTTTAGGATGTGTGTTTAGGTATTAATATCATTTCTGTCTTGCAGGTGAGAAGCTGTGGGAGGTGCAGTGTGACTCTCCAACCTTTACAGTTGCCTGGCACCCAAAGAGGCCCCTGCTGGCCTACGCCTGTGATGACAAGGAAGGAAAGTATGACAACAACCGCGAGGCTGGCACCGTCAAACTGTTCGGCCTTCCCAATGACTCCTGAGGTGGAGCAGCTGTTCAGGATGTTCTGTAGAAAGGAGGAAAAGTCCTGAACAATACTGAGGATGAAGAACTGCAGTAACCTCTGTAACCAGCAGATGGTGCAGCTGTATTTAGCTTCTGAATCTGCTGACATCATTCCTTGTTTTTGTACACAGTTCAATCCAGAACACCTCCTGCTGTATTATAGTATTTTATGTAAAATAAAAGGTTTTTGGTAATAAAATGTCTTTTTATGTAGCCTTATTTCTTTTGGACATTAAACCTCATTTATCTGCCAGCACCATTCGCGGATTAAATAAAAACAATTAAATGGATGTAAAACAAAAGCACAAATTAAATATTTAGAATCCCTTAATATCTGCTTCTATATTTGGGCCAAACTATTGACTGAGTTGATTTGAAATGCCAGCAGAAAATGAGATTAAAAGCTGTTCAAAACCCTTTTTCTGGTTACATAAATCAAAGCTGGTTGGGTTTTATTGTTGTTGCCCCACACATTTTAATAGTAGCTATTACATTTCAACAGGAGAGTCATTTTGACTGAGCTTAAAACAGACATCAAGTGCCTGCCAGACTTCTGTCGAGGACCTTCGCCCGGACATACGTGCACAGCGTGAGCCCAGAGGAAGACTCTGGTCTGGGCCGGTGGCTCTCGTTACTCAGCGTCCGAGACCAGCAGGCCCACAGAATGCTTTGGTAACCCTTCCTTTTACAGTCTCTTAATTACTAAGTACTTACATGGTAAGTTAAAGTGTATTATTGTGTAATTCAAGTGTATTATTGTAATAAAGTGTAATTATTGTGTAAAGCAGTATTTACTGGAAATTATTAATAAAAATATAAACTAGAATTGAACCTGAGTTACATGGTAATAACTGTTTAAGAACTCAGAAACGATAATACATTTTTATTTACTATGTAACTGCCATGTAAGTACTTAGTAATTAGGGGACTGTAAAAGGAAGTGTTACTGATGTTTTTGCCTAGCAGCTTCCTTTCATCTTTGCAGGGGTGACACTGAGGTCCACACCTTCCTTTTTTAATTTGTTTATTCCTCCCCAGGACTGTCAGCCAGATAAGAAAGCAACAGAAGAGACAATGAGCCCAAACTGATGCCTTTGGAGGAAGTATCTTTTGACTTATCAATATTCATCAGGAACTGAGCCCACTGGGGTTGTGCTCAATAAGAATTCCCTAAAGTGTGGCAATACAAATGACTAAAAAGCCAGATGTTGCATTGATGTTAACATCTGAATTAGTTTTATTGTTGTCAGTAAAGAGAAACATCTAAATACAGTTCCTACAGACTGTGCAGAGTCTGAGCAACTTTCAAGCTCAGAATAAAATCCATGTCAGGTAAGATGTGTGATGTCTGTAAAACACAGATCAGTGACTTGGTGGATCTGATGGTAAGAAAGTTTCTGTTTAAAGTCACGCTATCTGGTCAGAGAAAAGTAAATTAAACAAAACTGTCCAAATGTACTTTCACTTGGAAAGTTTGGATCTGGATGGAGATCTTAGAACTTGACTAAAATCCTCTGACGAACAGGATGTCAAAAACTCAAATCAGACATATGCTAATATGCTTTATTCACATTTTAAAGTTACACGTTGAAAAGGTTTAAAAATCTTCAAGTTTTAGTTGAATACTTAGCATAAAATGACTTTTGTACTTTCAAAAGAATAAAAAAGATGTCAGGTGGAAATGGTAACTGGTTGTGAAATAACCAAAGTGATTCTTCACGGCTCCTACGATCCATTCCGAAGGATTCAGCTGGTCATGAAGGAATAAACATGAAATAATGAAATCCTCACTCCATGCCTTCTCGGTTCAGTTGAGTAGAAACCACAGAAATGATGGCTCCGTCCTTCTCAGGCTGTACTGGTTACCATGGAAACCAGGATTCTAGTTTCAGCATCATGAGGGATAATTTTGAAACATTTTCATTTTTATAAAAGTTAAACATATTTTCTACCTGTTCTCTTCCTGAACAGCCTCTGTTCAGAGAAGTTGCATCTGTTTGTTTTAGTGCCAATGACATGACTGCTAGTCTGAGCTCCGGCAAGATTAAAAACTAGTTTGAGGAGAACACGCAAACTCCAAGTAGAAAAGCCAGAGCTGGGATTTGAACCTGCAGCCTTCTGGTTGTGAGGAAACAGTGCTTATAGCCGCACCACCATGCAGCTCAGTTTTAACTGCAGTTCCCCTTTGAGGAAAATGCTTCTCTGCAGTTGACCCATCCCTGAGGAGCAGTGGGCTGCCTTTAGTACGACTCCCAGGGGTTCAGTGCCTTGCCCAAGGATACTTCAACACTACCGTGACCTAGGATCAAACTACTCACCTTCCAGTCAGTGGACAACCACTAAATAAGCATCACGTTTTCCTGAAAACAATGGAATTGAATTAGTTTGTGTTCTAGTGGCCTTAAAAGCTAATCCTAACCGTATGTTTTTGGGTTTATCATTATGGTGTTGAATTTTATCAGCTTTTTATTAACGGGGTCAACGTTGTTAGAAAATAAAATGTTTGCAAGGATAAAATCATACAGAGGTACCAAGCTGCATAAGTGCTGCATCAGAGAGAAAAAAGCTACACCACTGTATCAAAAATAAAGTTAAAACATATTTTATACGCTCTGGATGTTTCATAGTGTGTGTGTGTGTGTGTGTGTGTGTGTGTGTGTGTGTGTGTGTGTGTGTGTGTGTGTGTGTGTTACAGACCATTCTTGTAAAGGATTAAAAGGCAGACACTGCTGTGGAAGTTGTCAAAAAACTAAGTCTTTTGTTTAAATTTAGGTTTGGTTTCATTTTTCAGACTTAATTGGAAACACTATTTTTTCCTGAATATTTAATGATTACATATCAGTCAGTCAACATTATTGGGAGTTTGTTAGAGATGGCAAAAACAGATTAAACTCATTTTATTAATATTATTATTCTAAAATCTGAGTGAGTTCAGTCAGAGCAGACATGGGAACACTGCTGTGTGTTTGTTCAGAGATCAGTCTTTCAAAGCCAATGTGCAAATGAGATGTGTCAAGCACCTGGAATTGAATTTGGCGTAGCAGCATGGTGCTGCTGGATGGCCCTTGAGCGTGTCGCCCCATCCGTCTCCTGTGATCCCAGCTGTTATTTATTGTCGCTCAGAGGGAAAGTTGGTCAGTCAATATCCATGGATGTAATTGCTAACAAACATGTTGGGATGATAGATCAAATCTAGCTGCCTGTGGGGTCTCCCCCACCAGTCTCCACTCATACGACAGAACGTCTGTTAGATTTTGACTCAAACAATTGAGTTAAAGCTAAATATAGGAGAGGAATCAACTTGTTTTAATTACAATAATGCCACTAAACAAACATGTTCATAACTTTAGTGTACTTCGGTGTTAGTTTTTCAAAGCTATAATTTACCAACACTTTGCAAATCCATTGTTAGCTGCTTTTTATCACTAAATAGCTCACATTTTTATTAATAAAGTCCTATTATTCTTTGAAGGAGTCCATAATACCAAGTGCCTTTCATACATTGAGAAGTTGTGAAGTCATACTTTCATGGACAAATCTGGAAAATAACCTGCACAATCTTGCTGTGCTTTGCTAGCTCCAGAAAAATGTGTTAAACTGTGAGTATGTAGATTACTCTCAGCTTTGACGCTGAAGCTTGGTGAATTGTTGCCCTTGTGGAGTTTTCTCATTTTGATTTGCTGTGGTAGCACTCCTGAATGGTGTTGATTCCAAATTATAGTCCGTTGTAAAATAATAAATATACTAATTATAATGTTGAAAATACATTAAAATGTTAATCTTTCACAAGTGAATAAAACCCTGCTACTGACACAGGTTAGCAGTGACGGCCATCTTGAATTGAATCAACTTTCAAAGATAATCATCGGTTGCGGTTCATCCAGTGATAACTTTTAAAGAGAGACAATAAGCCTTTTCACAGTGGATGTTTTATATGTTTAAGAAGCCATCCATCCATCCATCCATCCATCCATCCATCCATCCATCCATCGTCCTCTGTCTATCCGGAGTGGGGTCGTGGGGGCAGCAGCCTAAGCAGGGAGGCCCAGACTTCCCTCTCCCCAGGCAGGGCCAGCTCCCCCGGGGGAATCTCAAGGAGTTCCCTGACCAGCTGAGAGACATAGTCCCCTCCAGTGTGTCCTGGGTCTACCTTTAGTTCTTCTCCCGGTTAGACATGACCAGAAAACCTCACCAGGGAGGCATCCAGGAGGCATCCCAACCAGATGCCCGAGCCAGCTCAACTGACTCCTCTTGATTCATTCATGCACTCATTAACACACCTGTGTTCTCTCTAATCTTTAGTCAAAATTTCTGCCAATAATTAATAAGTGACTAATTTACAGTGTCTGGTTTTATCGATGAGCTGACCAACCAGGAGATGACTTGAAGGGAATCCAGAAAAATTGTACAATTTAATCTTTCAGACTAATACAGACTGAAGTTCTGTGCATTTAACCCTCTCAGGCTCAAAATAAGTTTTGATAAAAGGACGAACAACTGAGTCCTTCAGGAGTACTTCTGAGTTAAAAAATGCTCATGAAATATGTATGTGGAGTAAACAGGTAGGTAGGTTTTAATGTTGCAGATCTGCAACGCCTGCCTCCAGAGGGTTAACCCGCACAATATAAATAAACTGTCTTTATATTAAACTTTGTTTCTGCATTCATTCTTTAATTTAAGATTTTGCATCTTATCTTCCAGGTGTTTCTTTCTTCCCTTTATTAAAAGCTCGCCACACTTGCATGTTTTGCATATTTGTTGCCTTTCTTGGATGACAGTTGGAACCTTGCTGTCATGTTTATGTTTAGCCAGGTTGTGGACAGATGTTGCTGCTCAGGCACATCTCAGCTTTGCTGCAGCAACGAGGCTATCTAATCTCATTGCTGCTGAGTGTGATTGATGCGGACGGTAACTTTGATTTTTGCTTTCCGTTGCACTAGTACAACTAGCATTAACTTTTATTATGTTTTATTCAAATTTGCATGTAGAGAAAAACAGAAAGAGTTTGCTGCCAGTTTTCAATGGGATCGATATTCTCATTGGTTGAACGGCAGCTTTCCCCTAAGGTAAATCTTTTGTCTTAATCAGAGCTCAGATGTGCTCCTTCATGGCAATCAATCTGTTTACATCCTAATGTTTTCAGACAGTGTGTTTGTGTGTGTGTGTACGTTTCAAGTGAGGTCAGCTGCGTGCAGAGGGATA